CAAAGTCCTGTGAAATCCCTGAGAACTTGGGGGTGATTTCTGAGGAATTACTGAGAACCCTAGCTTGGTGTGGTCAGCAGTCCAAACCTCTCATGTCATTAACTCTGCTCTAACCTGCTTCTAAGACTTGCCCTAAATCAGCTGGCCCTGGCCTTAAACTACCAAAAATGTCCTTCCCTGATTTCTCTCCTCTGAGATACCACCAGGACTGTCAAAATGGTACGCTCCTTAATTTTATAAACTTAGCTTTGCCTGATTGAAAGTTTTTTTCTGGTGGTCTTTTGGGGGATTGACAGAACAATTCAATAATTTTCAATAAAGACATGTGTCTTGGCTACCTGGTAATTTCTGTAGTCATATAGTGTATGCAAAAAACATGTCCTTTTTCTCTTAATGTATCTGAGGATAGGGCCCAGAAATACAGCAATAGCCATGACTGAAAGGTCATGCATCTTAACACACTAATAAAGCATTAGATTAAAGGAAAGCATTCATCTGAGCTGTGCCCGGAGACCCCTGGGGGTGGCACTGACACTGTACAGACTGGAGTTGAGATTTGGATACAGCTTGGAGTACGGTTTTGTGACCTCATCTTACTCCCTGGGCTCTAGAAGCCAAGGTTCCTCCTAGAAAAAGAGCTTAAATCATGTCAGTGCCTGGGGATCAGATACACACTGAATTGTCTGGCAACCTGGGAGCAGAAGGACACTCTAAGGTAGCCAAACTACAGAGAAGGACACAAAAGTTCATTGTGAGGTGCGAGGACATAGTGAATGAGCTTCCATGTCTAGAGCCAACACACATGCGGGTGTATGCAGCCCTTGGTTCTTGGACTTATCCATGCCTGGTCATCCTGGGGGCACAGCACACTCTGGGAGGTATGCATAACTGGAAGAGCCATCTCATTGGGCTTAGCAACACTTTGGGGCCCAAGAAACCCTGCTGCAGTTGCTCCCCAAGTGAAAGAAACCCATGGAAAGATGTTTCTCTGGCCCAACTCTTGGCACATCAGGGGGTTGAGGCACAGAAGACTGGAGCAAAGGGGGCTGAGTGTCTTCACTCTGCAGGGCAGAGGTCCATGAAGGGGGGCCTGAAACATGAACATATGTCACCCCTTCCCCCACCCCCAAAGACTCCCAGAAGGGCTTTGGGGCTGCAATTTTACAAGGAAGCTGAATTACTTTTATGAGTTATCAATACCAAGGATTAACAGGATTTTGGGATGAATCTTAAGGAACCCCAAGCTTGAGCCCACAGGCTGGTGATGCTTGGAGAGATCTGAGTCACATCACACAAAATCACTGATTTCCTGTAGGAGTCTTGATGGGAGGGAGGCAGCTGGGTGGTGGCTTGCATGCCAGTGCAGGAGGTGACCAAACATAATTATCTGAATCTGGATCTCTTTTGCCCACGGAAGCCTTACTCTCCATGGACTGATCATACTGGGGAAGCAAGCAGTCAAAAGCATAAGGAAGTCTAGAATAAGAGAAGCCAGGGGGAACTGGAATGGGCACAGACACACGTTTGTGGCAGAGATATGTAACCTGAAAGGTTGGTTAAAAGAGTGTGATCACTGTCTTGGATTCTATATGTCTGGGCACATCCACTGTCCATGGGCTAGGACTGCAGCAGGCAGAGCATTTATGGCCTCTGTCTTTTTTTTTTTTTTAATTAAAAGATTTTATTTATTTATTCATGAAAGACAGAGAGAGAGGCAGAGGGAGAAGCAGGCTCTCTGCAGAACAGGGAGTCCGATGTGGGACTCGATCCCAGGACCCCGGGATCATGACCTGAGCTGAAGGCAGATGCTTAACCCACTGAGCCACCCAGGGGCCCATGACCTCTATCTTTGTGCCTGAGCATAGGGAAGAGGAGGTGAACACAATTCTGTCCTATTTAGTACTTACCCCTATTGGCTGTTGGCTCCACATACTGATGTTAATTATACATCCTCACTCTTCCAGGGCAGTGCTCATTTCAAATGATCTGCCTCACTGTTCTGGGGGGATGGTAGAGAGAACTGAGGTGCTCGCCCCTAGCCAGCCGGCTGTGTGCCTTTGAATGAGTTAATTTATCTCTGTTATCTTTTTCCTCCTCTGTAGAAAGAGGAACTAATACGGGCACTCTGTAGGTGTGATACACTGCTGGCTTTCACTCTGCCCTTCTTCCATAGTAATGGACATGTAGCAAGACACAGGGCTGACAGGCTGTCCTACCTTTCACCACCTTCTCTAAAGAAGATGTGACAAAGTTCTCTCCAGTGAAGTGTGACAGGAGCAATGTGTCCAATTCCCAGCCTGGTATCTTGAGACTAGACCAGGAGGGGTCATATACTTTCCCCTTTCCACTTGGCGCCACCCAGATGAGGTGCCCTCTCAAAACTGGATGAAGAAACAAGATGGAGGGGCGCCTGGCTGGCTCAGTTGGTGGAGCGTGTGACTCTTGATCTTGGGGTCGTGAGTTCAAGCCCCACGTTGGGCATGGAACTTACTTGGAAGGAAGGAAGGAAGGAAGGAGGGAAGGAGGGAAGGAAGGAAGGAAGGAAGAGAGAAGAGAAGAGAAGAGAAAAGAAGAGAGAAGAGACAAGAAGAAAAAAGAAAGATAGATAGATGGAGAGGACCCAGGTCCGCAAATAATTGTGGGGAGAGCTGCATGCTGAGCCAGTCTGTTTACATGAGGATAAAATAAAGTATCTTGTGTGAGCTATTCCATTTTGGAGGTCCCTAAACTTTAACCTTATCCAAATTGGGTGTATTTCACTGAACTCTTAGAAGCCCAAGAAAATAGAGGATGCAAGATTCCCTTATAAAGTGTTTTACAAATAGATTATGACTGCCACATAATTGAATGAGCCATCAGTGGAAGCAACAACTCTGAAAAACTAACTACACCCTACTGCCAAGCGGAATTACCCAGTCTAATCTCACTGCAGTGAGCAAATCAAGCAAGGGTGATAGACACGTGTTGCTATTTGAGTGTTTGTCAAACCTCTCTTCCTGTTAATAGCCCTTCTTCTCTTTAGGGAGTCTTGGGAGGTAGTGGACACGAAGCCTGAGGGGCCACATCCCCTCTCCCCGAGACTGCAGGTAACCAGCCTAACATGAAGATGGCTGGAGTTCATGTCCATCATGCTGCAGAGTGGCAAGGTAGACCGGACTATGCCTGGGGCCTGCCCTTTGCTGCCGAGAACCTTGGCTGATGCCCCAGGCAGTTGTCAGCTCTCCACATATAAGCTTACTCACAGACAAAACTTAATCAATTAAACAATATCTGTCTCCAGAATCTCCCTGTTCCCTTCATTATAACCCTCCACGAATCCTCTCAACATCCCTGAGAAAGTGGAAAGCAGGTGTATCTTTCTTAACTTGACAGCAAGCAGATGTTTGGGGAAGGAATTAGCCAGCCCACAAAGGACTGCCTCCAGGAACAGAGCAGAACCTGGCACAGCTGCCCTGGGCACCTGCATCTGAGTGGGACTGCTCCGCCCATCCTCAACCTAAAACGGGTGTCCCTCCTGCCCTCCTGGGCCAAGGGTCCTTGGCATTCCCACTGTTGGAGATTAGAGACTCATTCCTTTGCATTCCCTAGGAATTACCTTCCTTCAAGATGGAGAAAGTCCTTGGGGGGAGAGGCTCACTTGTTTATTACCTAAGCCGCTGAGTCACAATTCGGGCTTGGAGCCCCTGTGGGAGGGGCTGCGAATGACAGAAGCCATTTCTGCCCCACCGTAAAGCCCAGGCTTGCTGTTTCCACTTGCCACACCTGCTCCCAGAGCCGAGGAGGACCCAAGCCAAAAACATTAATTGGGTCCAATTTCTACCATCCCCTCTTGTTTACTGCAATTTAAACTTCCCCAGAAACAGATTTTTGCTTCAGGTGCTTTTCTGCTGGTCTCATTTTCCCCATTTTATGGTCTCCTCCTTGAGACATCCTGTTGTCATTGAGCGGTGCCAATGACAGAATCTTTCCCCATAGCCCCAGAAATGTGAGGTGGAAGAGGGAAGAGAGAGTGCACACCCTAGGGTGCAGTAAAAGGCAAGCAGGCTTCTGATCTGGACTCTCTGACATCCCTGCTCCCAGCAAAAAAGTTGGACGCAAGCTCTACCCTCGATTTGCTCGCACCCCACAAACTGACAAGCTTACAGCACACAAGGCACAGTCTGGATGCTTGCGACCAGTTTTGGAAGCAGAGATCTTTTCCTTTCCCCCAACTTGCTGACACACCTTGGTGGGCTTCTGATCTTTACGTTGTCCCCTTGCCTTCGGCACTGATTCTCCCAAAGCCCAGCTTCTCCTCCCAGCCTGGGATCCCCTGACCTTTCTTTGAAGGGAATGTCATTTACTTCTTTCGACAGAAAAGGAAGATCTAAGCACTTCTTTTTGCCTCCTACTTGCCCTTTATTCTATACCAAGACAGGAACGTGCCTTCTCAAAGGAGCATACTAAGGAGACACACAGCTGCTGAAGGAGGAATTCTGGAAAGGCAGGATCTGACCGGAGCCTGCAGGAGATAGACCTGGGTCCGGGGCGCAGCTTAGCTGCTCACCGCCTGTGACAGTATGAACTGATGCCTGCACGACTCAGTTTCTTGCTCTGTAAAACGAAGATCAAAACCCCTTTCTCATGGGCTTGGTGAAGCCACTGCCTTGACCCGTCTGGCCAACTTAGTAGTCTTTATTAGCAAGCATGATTATAGTGCCATGATTGCTTTCTTTGTAAATTTACAGATCATGCAGTGTTTCCTGGAAAGACTCAGAACCAAACCCTCTGGCGCAACCTCCCCCTGGACACCAATACACAACCTCCAAGCGCTGAGATAAGGTCCGTAACTGGTACCCTAGAGTCTGCATGCAATCAAGAAGTGTTACAGACCGCTGCGCTCCCCTTTTACTGATTCACTGCCCTAATGTTCCTTTAAAAATATCTTTGGGCCAGGCAGAAACCTCGGAGTTGGTTTTTGGACAAGAGTCTGCCTTTCTCCCCAGGTGGCTGGCCTCCTGCGTAAAGCTCATCTTTTCCAATCAAAACTCATCTCTTGAGGTAGATGGCGTCACCCGGAGCATGAGTTGCTGCACAAGGGTGTTGAAGACAATGGCCAAGAACAAACTAAGAGGGCAGAAGTCCAGGAATGTATTTCATATAGCCAGCCAAAAAAACTTTAAGTCTAAAAACAAAGCAAAACCAGTTACCACTAATCTTAAGAAGATAAACATTGTGAATGATGAAAAAGTTAACAGGATGAATAAAGCTTCTGTAGATATACAAAAGGAACTTGCCCATTTCTCAAAAGGCCTTTCCCTTGAACCTTTGCAGAAACAGCTGATTCCTCAGCAGTGTCATGAAAACGAACCAGTTAATGTTGATGAATCGACAAGATTAATGGTTCAGTTGTAATACATCAAATACCCCCCAAAGACCAACGAATTAAATGTTTTATATAAAAAACAAACAAACAAACAAACTCATTTCTTGAGTATTGGCTTTTCGTGCCACAGGCAGCCGAACTTGGGTTTTTCGGTAACATTGGGGTAATAATGAAAAGATATAGCACGTGTTAAGCACGTGGCATGTGAGTACCTGGCATCATACTGATTAACTTCCTTCATTTTCCAACATCCTCAAGATAAAGAATTTGGAGGGGGTAGTAACATTCTGACAAATAACACGGTGGCTTCTTGAGGTATGGTCCAAGACTGCTTCCACTGCAAAATACACAGAAGCGATCACACACTCGCCCTCAGTTCTTGGCTGCCATGCAGTGAGATGCTGTAGTCCGAGTGGGATCTCATCAATGAGAACGTCAGAGGGACAGACTGCTGGTAATGAAGTTACTCCCGCACTTACTCTAAACTATAACATGCCAACCTGGAGAAGAGAATGGAACGTGCTAATTAATTTGTTTATTTAGAAAATAAAATAAATACATTAAAAATTTTTTTTAAACTTCTAAATAACTCTATTGGAACTTTCTTAAATCGGCGTGCACTTGAATTTTCATTGGGTCTGGTCTTTAAGGTAAACTATGTGATTCCCAACGGGCCAATATTTGGCACCGATTTGGGCCACTTCACTACATTTTTTGACTAAAGAAGATATCAATGTCGAAAGGAGGGACAAAGTATGAACAGAAGTACATGAGTGAGATAGGATGTGTCTTAGTCTGTAAGCTAAATTATACCTTCAAAATATACAATCTTTTGAAAGAGAAAGTTTTATTAAATTTTTTTAAATTTTTTTTTAA